ATCCTTATCCCTATGCTATATGCAGCTTCTTCAAGGTCCTTCATAGCGAAACACTTCCCAAGCCAGGATTTAATCTCCTACAAAGTTGGGGTGTCATTTCCTATGATTAGTATGATATCCACATACAGCACTAAAAAGATAACTATACTCCCACTAGCTCTGACGTATACACAGGACTCATCCTCGCTTCTCGAAAAACCAAACTCTTTCACTTTCTCATCAAAAAAAAGCTTCCAGCTACAAGATGCTTTCTTCAATCCATAAATGGATTTCTCAAGCTTATACACTCTATTAGGGTACTCTGCATTGACAAAACCCTTTGGCTTACTTATGTAAGTATCTTCAGCTAACTTTCCATTAAGGAAAGTGGTTTTGACATCTATTTTCCATATTTCATAATCATGAAATGAAGCAATGGCTAGCATAACCCTAATAGACTTAATCGTCGCTACTAGTGAGAAGGTTTCATCATAGCTAACTCCCTGAGTTTGAGTGAAGCCCTTTGCAACCAAGTGTGCCTTATAAGTGTGCACTTTCCCATCCATGTCGGTCTTCTTCTTGAAGATCCATTTGCACCCTACTATCTTACAACCCGGTACATTGTCAACCAAGTTCCAAACTTGACTATCATACATGGACTGAATCTCGTTGTCCATGGCCTCTTTCCATTTAGCAAACTCAGGGCCTGCCATGGCTTCCCTATAGCTGTTAGGTTCATCCAAATTTACCAGTGTACTATCACTGATAAATGTATCACCTTCCACAATAATATGGAAACCGTAGTAATGCTCAGGTGGATTCCTAACTCTAGTGGAACGCCTAATAGGTACAGACTCGCCTGTTGGTTCAATAGGAGTTTCCTCCTCAGGTTGACTGCTAGGGTTTGAGGTTCCTTCAACACTTGACTCTTGAAGCTCTTCAAGGTTAATTTTCCTCCAACTGTTTCCTTGGCTTAAAAATTCTCTCTCGTGAAAGACCCCTCTCCTTGCCACAATGACCACATTCTCACAGGGTTTGTAGAAGAGGTAACCAAAAGATTTATGTGGGTACCCGATGAAAATACACCGCTTACTATGAGGTTCGAGTTTGTCGTGAGTCTCACATCTAACGAAAGCCTCGCAACCCCAAATCTTGATATGGTCTAAAGCGGGAACTTTCCTAGTCCACATCTCATGAGGTACTTTGGCAACCTTCGTGGTAGGGACTAGATTAAGGATATGGGTGGCAGTCTCTAAGGCATACCCCCAAAATGAGATTGGTAACGAATCTCGACTCGTCATGGAATGAACCATGTCCAACAAGGTTCGATTGCGCCTCTCAGCCACACCATTAAGTCGTGGTGTTCTGGGAGGTGTGAATTGTGAAACAATTCCACATTCCTTGAGAAAGTCAAGGAACTTTGTACTAAGATACTCTCCACCTCGATCAGATCGAAGAATCTTAATGTTCCTGCCGAGCTGATTCACCACTTCTTGTTTAAACTCTTTAAACTTTTCGAAGGTTTCTGACTTATGCTTGATTAAGTAGGCATAACCATAGCTACTGGAATCATCAGTAAAACTCACATAGAAGTGGCTAGCATCCCTTGTGGCAGTTCTAAAGGGTCCACACACATATGTGTGTATGAGGTCTAACAAACCTTCGCCCCTAGCACAAGTAACAGTGAAGGGTGACTTAGTCATTTTTCCAAGTAAACAAGACTCACAACTATCATCTGACCTTAAGTCAGATGATTCCAAGACTCCAACCTTTTGGAGTTGGTCTATGCGCTTCTTGTTAACATGTCCAAGACGACAATTCCACAAGGTTGCTTTGTCCAAACTAGTGGAAGAATCAATATGCAATACACTATTTCCTAAGTTGTCTACAGCCGACACAGTTTCATATACACCATCACAAGGTAATGCTTTAAAATAAACAACACCATTATAAAAAGCATTAATACCACCACATTCATTATCAAATGAAAAAGTAAATCCTTGTTTGTACAAACCGTGAAAAGAAATAATATTTCTCTCCATTTCAGACGAGTAACAACATTTATTCAAATCTAACATTAACCCACTACTCAACAATAAAGAATAAAGTCCAATCTTGGTGAAGCTTTCCTATTCCCCATGATCAAGTTTATCCTCCCATGCTCCACATCCTCACTTCTTCTTAGGCCCTACAAATCAGAACATATGTGAATACCACAACCTGTATCAAGGACCCAAGAATTAGTATGCGGTGAGTTATTAGACAATATAGTGTAAATACATGCATAGGTATGTTTAACCTTCCCATCCTTAACATATTTCAGGTACATAAGGCAATTTCGTTTCCAGTGCCCCTTATCATGACAATAGAAGCATTCAACCTCTTTTGGTTTGGAAGAGGGAGTGACAAAACTACCTTTGGTTCCACTTGAAGAGGAGCCATCAAGAGACTTTCCCTTGGTACCCTTCGAAGGGGTCTTCCTCTATTTCCCTTTACCTTGCCTAATTGGTAGAATAGGGGCGGTGTTAGGAGTAGGAGTATTAACAACCGATTTACCTTTGAGACCACTTTCAGCGGTCTTCAAAAGTCCTTGAAGCTTGCTGAGTGTGACCTCCTCCTTGTTCATATGATAGGTCATTCTTAACTGATCATAACATGTAGGTAAGGAGTGCAGTATGATTTCAATAGCCAACTCCTCAGGGAAGTTCACATTCAACTTTAGAAAATGGTCCACAAACCTTTGCATTTTTTGCATGTGGCCCCTGATGGGTTCACCATCCTTCATTCGGCTTGTTATCATGGAAGAGATGATTTCATACCTCTCTTGACGAGCACTCTGATGGTATCTATCCATTAGGTCCATGTACATCTCAAAATGGTAAAAGTCCTCATAGGACTTTTGGAGTTCAGCTGTCATTGTGGCCAACATGATAGATGCCACCTTGGTGGCATCTCTCTCATGAGTCCTAAATTCAGCGATCTCCTTTAGAACAACAGTGGAATCATCGATCTCGTTTAGCTCCTTATTGAGGACATATTCATTGTCCTCGTACCGTGTAACCATCCTGATGTTCCTGATCCAATCATTAAAGTTGGAACCATTAAAGATGACTCTCCCACAAAGATTCATGAGAGAGAAGTAGCCGGTACGGTTTGAGCCAGAAACATTGTTGGAAAACATCAGAAAAGAAGAAAGACAAGTTTAGATTAGATAAATAGTCCTTAATAAGACACCCAAATGTAATATTAAGGCTAGGACCCAACACAATACTTTATAACTTTGAAGAGGGATGCTGTAATCCAAGCTATAAAATATTTGAAGGTAGGCGAATGACGATTCACCAATTTCCACCATGAAAAAAAATAGGTATTAGGTTTTAATTGGATTGAAACTCCTAGATCTTTTGAGATTCATTGAACTTTTCAATGGCATGTTTAAATCTCGATTAATCCCTCTCAAGTTTTTGACTGGGATGTTGAGGATCACAAACAAGGTGTGAATAACCATGAAAATTAACTTGGTACCCTTAATTTTTATCACCTAATCGATGTGCCGGTTAACCACACGTGCTCCACCAATATATGATAAACATTAACTTACCCTTTGCCACTCTTACTAGTCCATGTTAGTGTGTTGGTTAACCACACACACTTCACTAACGACTTGGTAAGGTACAAAGTGTAATTTTATGGGTTAGCACCAAATTCACATTTTCCTAAAGTAACTAAGATTGGAAATTTATAAAAGGTTTAGCTACTTTATATTTATCATTATACTTTTAATGAGAATTATAGTCCTTGTCCTACCAGTTCGGCTAACGACCCTCCACCAGTCAAGGAAGCGATGGGTGAGAGTGGACACACATTAAGTTGCCATTTTATAGGCAACAACCTTATCCCCCCCCCCCCTTATAGACCAGCTTCGTGAATGAGACCTACTAACGGTAAGACTGGCTTGATCTTATACATATATATTATTAACTTATAATATTATAAAGTATAAGGGTTGAATTTTAAACTTTTAAAATTCTAGGGATTGGAATTAAAGTGTGTGTGAGACTTTACAAATTCCAAAACTTGAGGGCGAGTTTTGAAACTATTCAAAACTTTTCATTTCTATAACTTATGAGTTTTAATGGTTTTAAAGAAAAGACTTTTGGAATTCCATAACTTGAGGACAAGTTATGGAGTCCAATAATTGGCATTTAGATCAAGAATTACACTAACAAACAATTTGCAAATAATTCCTATGATCTACTAAAACTCATAAGCATGAACATTCATATCAACAAATTTCAAGAATCATATAAACATGTATAAAACTTGAAACTTTGATAATTACTTTTGAAAATGGATTAGCATAATCATTACCTCATCAATAATAGATTTTATAAGTCTAAAACAATTTAACGTAATGATTCTAGTACAATTCCAGCATTGAAACTCGAAATTCTGCACTCTGGGCCTCCTACTTTCCAAGTGCAAGAACCTACTCGACGAGTAGAATGAGTTTTCACTTGGACTCACTACTAGAAAAACAACCTTTTACGACGTGCAATGCGTGTTGTAAAATGCTCAGACGACGCGTAAATGCGTGTCAAGAAAGGCCCTGTCATAACGAGAGACGACACGCTTTTGTGTGTCGTCTATAGATGACGCGCATTTACAACACGCATTTATGACACGCAATGTGTATCATTAAAACCCCTGTCAAGAAAGGTCATGTCATAAACGAAGATGACACACATTTTTGAGTATCGTAAATTTAAATGTTTAAAATAAATATATTTATATATTTATTAACTTTTAAATTAAAATTTTCATTTAATGTCTCATAATAGAAATAAAATACCATATACAAAAAATACAATCCATTGCATAATTTAAAATAAAATTTCATACTCAAAAAATAAAATAAATTGCACAAATTATATTATGTCATACAAAGAATCATTTAAATGTTAAACAAAAATAATACATTGCTAACATGGGTTATACATTCCTATAAAACTAAAAAATAATCATCCAACTTTGTTTCTTACTGGAATATGTGTGTAATAGTCTCCTTCATCAGCCTCCATGTCCAAAGTCGGATCTACCTTCCTAATCTATATGTATAACAAAGACACATATGTTAAACTGGTTACCATTAACATCTGATCATATGGACTTGAGTGTTAAACTTGTTACCATTAACATCTGATTCATATGGTTCACAGAAATCCATGTGTTCTTCACCTCTAATTTAACAAGATTGTTACCTACATAAATGAAAACAAATAGGAACATTAACAGCCCAATTATGTACAATTTCACAGGATTCCATATCATGTATTACCAAAAATGATGATCATTAATAAGTCCTTTCAAGGATAATTTGGTCTGGATAGAAGATTAAACTAAATACAAATCATAAAGATTCTAAAAAACAGTCGACTACATTGGAATTGATAGCTTATTGGAAGAATAAGATAGAAATGAAATAATAAGAGTTATAAATAACCATTGTGTAAGAGGTACAGAGGGAATATTTATCTATACAGTCTATTTCTTGAAAGATGATAAGTAGTTCAGCCAAAAATTCACAATAATTTAGTAGCAATCGACTAGAGTTTGCCAACTTAGTGAGGCCAAAAACTCACAAATAACTACCAAGAAGCTATAGTTTAACAAGTAACAGCAGGTGATATTAAGAGCCATAGAAAGGTACAGAATTTCCTCTATTGAGATTAGATCGGTAACGGATCTTATCATTTCACATCACTAAAAGGACGACTTCGCAATATAGCAACAGCTTCACAAAAGAAAATTAAAAAATAAATCCAGCATATAACAAACTTATAGTAAGCAGAAACTAGAGAAAAAAAATTGGGGTAATACACCTGATCAACCAACAGACCATTGTGTTGTCTCACTTTGTCAACCACTTCCTGAGTTGCAGCCTTCCTCAAATTTCTCTTGATAATAAAGAACAAGACGTTAACAGATAGCATAACCGATGTAACTTGGGCAGTACATGAAATAGGAACCAAACACAGACCTCTACTCTTAGTATCTAGCTTTGTATCTCCTTTATCAAAGTCTTAGAATTTAATTCAAATTTTCAATTAATTTTTCAGTTTGATTATAATGAATACAACAAAATGTGTTCTAAACTGTAATTGGTTGGTGAATTTTAAAAGGTATCAAAGAGAAAGACATGGAAATAGCTCCTGATCATCATTGTAATAACATTGAAATGAATAATACAAAATTTGTTCTAAACTGTAATAACGCCAACAAGCATATGATACACACAAAATCTCAATCAAATTCCACTAACAAACAAAATCAACTTACCAGAAGAAAAATTCTTGATGAAGACAAAAATTACCTCTTGATTAGCACAATAACCACCATATTGTTGAGTGACTTCACAACTTGATACCTTAGTTGATCAAGCAACAAACCTAAGTTCCTACTTGATTCAATTGATAAGTCACTAACATTAAGTTTGGGATCCCCTCTATGAAGCCATGTTATGTTAAATTCATCCTACATCTCTACAACACACTCCTTTATAATTGCATCATTCAACCTCACTGTAATAAAAGGAGAAACCGGTCATTTTTTTTGCTTTTTCCATAATTCATAGTATAAAAGTATTTAAAGCACATCGTGACCTTGTGGTCGTTCCATTTTCACTACTTCTAATTTATCTTGTAGTTCCTGAAACATTCCATACAATCTTTCTCAGCTTATTCTTTTACAATAATAAGGGTATTTTTGTCTTTTTAACAGAAAATTGGTGAAAACATGTATACCTTGAGTCTTCCTTCTTGACAAAGGGCTGGAGTAGTTAACAATGCAGAGTATCTGCAATTAAAATTTTTATTCACAATTCACAATATAAATAAATAAGTTATCTTTTGTTTGGGGGGTGGGGGTGGGAGGGCTTACTCGCAACGGCTAGGTTCATCTATATCAGCAACTTCAACTTTTGATCCACATCTTAATCTCACCTGTAAAATGATGAGTAAATATCATATGTTCAAAGGGGCAATTCTGTAAATTTTTAATTAATGTAAAGATTAAAATATTTAAATAGGTACAATTAAACTTCTTTGAGGCCCATTCTAGCATTTGTCACCATTTGAGAAGAGCAAGACTCTATATGACTCATGGTGAGCCTGGTGAACCACTTTGGTGAACAGAGACTGGAGTGATTTTGAGATCATGGAAATTGAACTGCTTGTTGTTGATAACAGATGGCTGATAAACTGGTTCGGAATCTGAACTTGGTATCTGTGATTCCAAAATCACTACTTGTTGTATGCAAGGTTACAATGACTCCAGCACCATCAAACATGTTAAAATTTTGCCTGGTAATGCCCCTTCTTTTAACATATTTCATACATTTTTTATGCGCCACTACTTTCTTTAATTTGATATTCTATTATTTATATAAAGCAAAGTCAGTCTAATGCTTTTCAAAGAAAAATTAATGTTGCACTTATCAACATGAAGCACTTAATACTAGGTTTAGTGATGACATTATTGGAAAAAGAAGTACTTGAGCCTCCACTTGTTTGACCAGCATCCCATCAGTATGCAAAAATCCAAACTTTATATTCAACACAAACAATAATTCCATGTAAAAAGAATTCATTTAATTATATAACAATCTGGCTTCAAGATGTTATTGAGCAACAAAAGTTTGATCTAATTTACCTGGTGATTGGTTCCTCACCAAGTAGGTAGGAAAGAGACTAATGCAATGCCAACATTTCATGTAGCATCATCAAGAAAAGAATAAAAATAATACAACATGAAATATTAGAAGTGAAGACATAAGTCTTTATCTACTTATTCATTCCTTTATCTTTCCAAAATGAGAAAGTTATTTAAAATGGTGAATTTAGGATTTCTACATGATTTCAATTTTTTGAGTATGACCAAAGATACACACTAAAAGCATACACTTATGGGATAATGCATGCCCTGAATCTACATAAAAAATGAGTGTAAATGTTGTATGTGAAAAGGGGTTTGGTTAACCATTTCATAAGAGATTATCCGGTTATCATCTTAAGATTATGCGTTTTAATACATGAGATGTTTCCTTTTTCGGACTAATGTGTGTTCATCATGGAGATAGATGTTAGACACACAAAGAATTAGCTAATTACATGCATAGTCTCTGGTGAAGTCAATTGGCTTTTACTAGTGAAGATAGGGTTTTGTGTTATCTCTTTATATTAGGGATTGAGTATCTGTGAAATTGTACCAGGCATGTTAGAAAATTAAACCCTAACAAACAAATAAATCTAAAGATAATGAAAAAAGAAAAAGCCAAAAACCAGATTCGTGTTCTGTGGGTTTGAAAGGAGACGCTGAATGAACTGTGAAATAGATGTTTCCTTAATTCGATATCGCTTCACCTCGAGGTCCTCATCTTCCTGATTTGATTTGGGAAACATGTATTCAACAAGAGCTGACGGAGAATTAGTCGAATAGGAAGGAGGAAGAGCGGATATCCTTGGTCTTCTTCAAAACACTGATAGCCCTAGTTCTTGGGTCCGCCCTTGTAAGGCCGGGAGCATAAAAGCCCTAGTTGTTCCTTCATATCGGGGACAAAAAAAAATATTAAAATCTATCACACCCCCAAACCAAGGATGGCGGAAACGTCCGGGGTGGAGGACATCATGTATAGTATCACAACAATGAATATAATAGTGCTCAAAGTAAATACAACCATCATAAATATAATTGAAAAGGTTACACCATGGAATAAGTTTACATGTTTCAAAATCAATTACATTATGATGACAAAATGAACTGTTTGACGATTTATCGTCTCATCCTTAAAATGTTGTTGGTTTTCCTGTTTCACTGATTTCCTAAGAATACAAGTAGTTTTGAAAAAGTGTCAACAATTAAGTTGGTGAGTTCATAAGAGTTTTGTTTGAGAAAGAAACCATTTTCCTTGAAAGAGCGACAGAGTATGTTTCCATAATATCCAATATTTTCTTTATTAAGGGTGAAATGAATGTTTCTATGTTATACGATAATGTACCCTAGAAGGACCCATAGATTCCTTCTATAATCACCTAGTGTATATAAGTTATATAAAATTTAAATTAAATAAACCATCGAATATCATGGGTCTGCCCCTGGTCCACAACCAAACAAGGAATGATACGAAGTTATATAAAATTTAAATTAAAAGTAAACCATCGCAGACTGGTCCGAATTCATTTCTGAAATAATACGAAGTTTTGTAAAAATCACCATAAATTGTAGAAAAATCTTATGGAGATGTGCAAGTAGTCATTTTAAAGGTATGAACCTGAACTATTTTCATATTAAACAGTTTTGAAAGATATTAAGTTTAAGGTAGTCAAAATAGTTCGTGAATATGAATCAACTTTTCTGATGAAAGTTGTTTGAGTTTAGTTAAGTTTTTAGTGTTTTAACTTGTATCCCCCCCCCCCCTCTAAAACTTGAAGAAAACATGAAAATGTAGAGGTATTAACTCACCTTGAGTGATTTCAGTAGAAGGATGATGAAGAAAAGAAGTGTTCAACTCAATAACACTTAGAAGATTGCTTGAAGATTCGAAGAACTAACACAAATATGATGAAGTTTGTGTAAGCAACCTATGATTTGAATAGAAGGAAGTGAAATAATTATGTGTAGGATGATAATACTTACCAAAAGTAGAAGAAAAGCTTAGAGAATGGCATTGAATCTCGAAATTTAGAGAGAAAGGTGTTTGTCTTTTGGAGGAAAAATGAGAGAAATGAGAGAAATGTGAGGAGAGAAGAGGGTTTTCCTAGCCCTTGACCAAGTGTGTGGCTGGAAAGTGGTGGGAAAAGTACTATGGAATGACTAGGTATGGTGGAAGGACAAGATTTGGTCATGGAGTCGGCATGGGGTGGTTGCTTGTGTCATACACTAAAGCAAAGTCAACACTTCACCAATAATATCCCACCCAATCTTCTTGGATAAGGATTATGCCTCAAAATGTGATTAATTATGAAATAAGGCGTTCTATATGTTAAAATATGATTTTGGGTGAAAATCCCGCATTAAAATAATTAAAACAGACTTAAAATGCAAAACTAGTCGAAAACCGGGTGAATTTGGCCTACCTGCGAGACCTCTCGGTACTGGGCCGAGGTTCGGTCCCTAATGTTGTTGGCCCGAATGCGAAATGGAGGGAAGGTAGAAGGAGCGAAGGCGAAGGGTTCGGTCCGAAGGGGAGGGTTCGAGTTCTGTTCTTAGTACTTCGGTTCTTAGAAGGTTCGGTTCCTATAGGGGACCTTCGGCTCTAAGAGGGTTTACCCCGTTTCAAGCGGTTTTTAACCCGATTAAGGGTCGGGATGACCCAAAAGACTATAAAAAGTAAAAGGAACTTTTGAGAGAGATTTGAAAGATATTTGGGAGAGATTTCACATACTTAGAGGAATTTCTCATACTTAGAGAGATTTAGGAGAGCTTTCACATACTTTGAGAGATTTCTCATTTAGAGAGAGATTTGGGAGAGATTTCACAAACTTGGAGATATTTCTCATTTAGAGAGAGAGATTTAGGAGAGATTTCACATACTTGCAGAGATTTGGGAGAGATTTCACACATTTGGAGAGATTTCTCATTCAGAGAGAGATTTGGGAGAGATTTCACATACTTTGAGATATTTGGGAGAGATTTCTTTTGTGACCTTTTTCAGTGTTTGGCTTCACAACGCAAGGTTCCTACACTCTGTTAAGCCTTGTTATGAATGTTATACGCTCTCGAGAGGGATGGAATAATGTTTTATCGAGTAGATTCATCACTTACCGTGATTAGGGTTTAGAATTTCCGAACACATGAAAACGCTAAGTGATACTTTATGTTAAGATTGCGAGTAGTACAATAAGAATCATAATGGAAACCCTAATATACAAGGGTTAGATGAGTTGACCGATTTGACTTTTTGTAACATACACGTTCTGAAATTGTGTATTGTTATTATTAAAAGTGAATAAAATTGAGTGTTGAATTCTAACAGCTAGTTTTTACTAGAAATGAAGTAAAACTATGTTTAGAATCACTCATAAAACATTGGAAGTCTTATGAGATTTCAATTAATAGCCAAATAATGAAAATTTAGCGAAAATATAAAATTTGAAATAAGTAAAATTTTATTATTTGATGTTGTAAATCATCTCGTTAGAAACTTGTAGGTGAAAACCTCGTCGAAATCCGAGTTATAACGAAGAAGTTATGACCAACCGAAGATCCGCGACAAAACCGGTACGGCGCCGAATGACGTAAAAAGTGAGTTTTTGATAAACTACTTTTTAGCCTTATAAATCTAAATGAAAGTATTAGTATTCGTTAAACCGAAAAATTCGATAAAAAGAACGCCAAAATCTGACTTCGTATGAGGAAGTTATGATTTTTCGAAGTTTCAACTTAGTAGTAGACAGCTAAAAACTCGAATTTTAGATCGAGCGATATTTGACCGATACATCCTAAATGAGAATCGAAGTTCTCGTCATTATTAGTACAACGGGAAAAAGTCTGACGAAAACGGATGTCGGATGAAGAAGTTATGAATTTTTAACGGATTTTCCTATCCCGATCTGTTAAAAATAATAATATTAAAAATAAAGTCAAAATTATCCGACCAAGTCTAAACGAAAGTTGTAGAGCGTAATTTTAGCTATCTGTGCATATAAATAACGTCAAAATCGGAGCTCGTATACGAAAGTTATGGATTTTAGAAGTTCGAGGCTCAAAATCCGAGAATTTCGCCTGAACAGTAACTGTCACGAAGCGGCCACGTCACCCTTATCCATCCGAGTCCGAAGCTGCTGCGTGTTGTGCTTTGTTTGGACCGAACTTCAGTCAGGAGCCCTTCAGACGTGTGTTTTGGCATCCGAGAAGACGTCTAAGACGCCTCGTACCAGGCCTCCACCTAGCTACTTGTTGCTGAGTCACCCCTCGCTGCCACCTGCCTCTTTCGGATCCGGCCACCTAGCCTTCGCAGCTGCTGACGCCTGGCTCCTTCTCGGCTAAACTCTCGCATCTCCTCCCAATAAATACAAGGCTTGCGAGCCTTGCCGAGGAATTTTATAAAATTGTCATTTTTGGCCCCTTTTTCCATATTTTGACTATTTTGACATCCCCTGAAGCCTCGGTGTCAATTTTAGCACCCGAAACACATCCCGAGACCCCCGAGAAGCCCGAAAATTTTATTTTTTCAGTTTTGAAGCCCTACCTTCGCAGAGCATGGTTTTCAATTAAGCTCCTGGTTTTCAACATAGAAAGACATATTTAAAGCCGAAATGTTGTCCAAATTACTATTTTAACCCCCGGTTAACTTAAGGTGGGTTCAATATATAGGAACAATTGTATGTTATGTGTTATATGTGCTATGTACTCCTCAGTGTTATTATTCTGAGTTATTATCCCGTGTTATTTTGTTTGCTATGTTTATAGCAAATATAATACCTTTGACCATGTGATCAGTGAAAGGACTTAGATTCACATTGATACTGGTACGTAGCCTCTGGCCATGTAGAACATGTCTCCGTAAGAGAATGAATTCTATTCTATGGCATTGGCAGAAAGTTAGATAGGAATGGTATGTAGCCTCCAACCATGTAGAGCATGACTCCGTAAGGGAATTGAACTCTATTATATGGTATTACCAAATGGTTAAACAGGGCGTGAAAACCTGAAATCTACCGAGATGGTTAAACAAGGCGTGAAAACCTGAAATCTACTGAAATGCTAAACAGGGCGTGAAAACCTGAAATCCATCATATTGATAATCAGAAATTATATGTCTTCTGTGCCATTTGGGCCAAAGCTTTATTGATGCATATCAAGTATTGAAATCGTTATGTCTCACTGAAAAGTATATCTTGAATAAAGTCTTTGATTGATATGAACGCTTGTCACATGATTTCACATATGTCTTGTTGTTCCTTTTTACTTTTGCCACATTGAAGTATATATAAGGCATAAGATTATATTGTATCTATTTATTGAATTCACTAAGCGTTATCGCTTATTCCTCTCAATATTTAACAATTGCAGGTGATGAGTATTCCAATATAGCTTTATACTGCTAAAATATTTAGGAAAGTTAATAGTATTTCTTTGTATTTTTAATGTTCATGTATATATATGAATAGTAGATTCCTAGGTAGACATGAAATTGTAATAAAACTTAGTCGGTTTGTATCCAATCCTTTGTAATCACTTTATCAATATAAAATATTGTTATATAAATATGCATGTAGCATGTTTTGAGGAAGTAACTTAAGAAATCTTTTGAAATAGTATGAAAGTTTGGGTCTTCATAAATACGAAAGTTGGGGTCTTTCACTTGTTGACTTTAGTTGACTTTGACTTGGCCAAAAATTGACGGTTGTCACATCATCCCTTCGTTAGAAAGAATTTCATCCCGAAATTAGTGTTTCGACTGGGACTTCAAGAATTTAGAGGAAAGATGAGGGAACTTTTCGTGGTACAAGAAATTGATTATGATGGGGAACAACCTGCTTGATGTTAAATGACGACCTTGGAATTTCTTATTGTAAATTGAGTTGAGTCGATTTAAAAAGAGTTATTGTTTTGGAATGATAATGTATTCAATGTGTGCCTTTATGCTCCCAGTTTTATCCTTATTGTTACCACTATGAATATTTTATAATGTAGTTAGTGAGTACTAGTATTACGAATGCTTTAACAATTTGTGATGAAATTTGCATTATAAGTCCTACCAGATATTTTATAATCGCTTGGTGTAAACTAGTCGTATATCATTAAAATTGCAAGGGCATCCGAATGAGTGACTCCGCCTTAAGCCCACAACCAAACAAGGAACAGGAAATGAGGCGGAATCACGCATTCTAAGTCCATAGAATCTTAATGATATATGACCAGAATGTTTACACTAGCCATCATAGATTCACCAGTAAAAACCCTATGTTTTTATATAGATGATAAGACTTATTCAAGTTTTGCTGTGTTCTCGAGATGCTTCTAGCCTTTTTCGAACTTGTACTAAGTGATAAGTGATAACTTCTCTTTGGAGCGCCGCAAAGGACCTACTTTAGTGTTTCTCGTTTGATTAGATTGGTTGGGAACATATAGGTTGGGTTTACATGACTAGACTTATTCGGATGATAGGACGTTCACTCTCCCTCCTGGGTAGCCTTGTCCCGGAGTTTGGGGTAGGACTCGTACCTGGTCCATCTATCACTAACTTGCGCATATAGGTTGTATGTACTTAAGGTTGGCAAGACAGTTGGATGGGTGACTCTGCCCCAAGTCCACAACCAGAAAAGGAACAAGAAATAGGGCGGAAGCACACATCCAATGTCCGTAGAGTCTTAATTATACCTTATCCTCTCGTATACACGTAGTAGTGGTAGACTAACCGTATTCATCCCAAGCCTCTGTGCTTGAACCTTATCTGCTGCATGCGTGACATTCCTGAAGGGTCTTCTGGAAATACTTGTGGTAAGGTTTCGGAAGGTATAATACTCCTCTAATGAGTAGTTTGGGGTTTCACAGCGAGAAATTACCCGGAGGTCCGTGCTGGATGTGTTTATGGGAGACGAAGGTTTCGATATTTGGTGGGTTAGGTGAAGGGCCCTTTCGTAGCCATTAATCGGGAAGATGAGGACTATACCAATCGAAATTTAATGGTGATAATAGTATCTTTTTAGGTAAAAACATGTGTTAAGTTGTATTCATAAGAAGTGCTCATTAGAGTGATACAGTATCTTGTGTTTCTTTTCAGAGTGTTCCGTTTTGTTCGATGTTATTGTTACTGTAGATGATTCATACCACAGTGTCTAGCATTGGTAGTAAGTGTGTTTTGATAGCTAGCAATGATACTTGATATCATGATCCCTGACAGGTCACTCTATGATCGAGCGGTATATGTACGTCGTATGTAATTTGATATTGGTGAAATCGTCGAGTGGGTGGCTCCACCCTAATCCTACTACTAGACATGGAACAGGTTTTGGGATGGAATTATATGCTTTAAGTCTTTAGTATTTTGATTATAATTAACCCTGATGTATGTAGAAAGTCATCACAGCTTACAGGTAATGATCCTAAGGTCATATATGAGTGTCTTTGATTTGATTTGAACGAGAGAGTATTTTAACTACTTTTAGATAGACGGTAATTTTAGCAAGCATACCAAATTCATTACAAACATATGGTACTCAGACGTTTTTGTCGTTGGAAACATTACAAAAGTCCTAATAGGGTTCCATTATTGCTCCTGCTGGTTTGTTCGTCACACTCCTCCTGCTCCTCCGTCATTCTTCTCGGTTGGACATTCTCTCTTGAAGTGTCCCGATTCATCGCATAGGTAGCATCCTAGGCCTACCCTGGTGTTGGTGATTGAAGAGAGGTGTCGGGTTTGGTTCCTACAGAAACAGGCAGCATGTCCGTTCTTGTTGCAGTTTTTACAGTTCATCACCCGGCAAGCCCCATTGTGATGGAAGTTACACTTGTTACATTTTGGGAGTGCTCCCTTATATGGTATGGCCGGTGCTTAGGTGACAGACCGTGTGGCTAGTGTCGAGGCATGTGTCGTTACTGGTGTTGTAATGGCAGGTGCCGCCACGGGTTGCTGTCTTCCACCGAGTTTTTGAGGTAGGTTACACTTCTTTTCGTCCCAAAACTTTCGCTTCTTGTTCGTAGGTTTGTGGCCTGAGGCACCTTCATTAGCAGACACCCGCCGGTGTTCCTGATTGTTACAACGGTTTATATTGTCGGTACCGCTTCCATCTTTGTTGGCATTGTTAGCATTAACTTGCGCCATGACGGCTGTCACTGTTGCCGTGACTGCAGCTTGAAAGGTAGCAGGGTCTATCTGCCGGATTGCTACCTTGCTTGTTGGTTGGTTACCTTCTTGTGAAGACATAATCCTGTTGCATGGAGACAAACGATGTCGTGAGTTGGGATGAGTATCTCTAGTTATATCCTTACCATTTATATACACATATATAAATTTCACACTTTACTGAACTATTCTCGATGTTTCTGCTAACGTTCCTGAGACGGAGTTGTAGTAGTGGGTAGAAGTAGGTTTCGTGCGGGCGTTAAGTTTTCCTCATCTTGGGATCATGTTTGTTCAAACATACCTGGCTGAGGAGTTTTGATGGGACCCGGTGTATTAGTGTTCTTATTTTTTACTTTTATTTCATCAATTGGTCTTTTTCAACTACAAAACATAAATATAAAGCAATTAAGCATTTTTTTTAGTATAAAATAATATATATGAAATGTCTTGTTAATATATATATATATATATATATATATATACACACACGAGAGAGAGAGAGAGAGAGAGAGAGAGAGAGAGAGAGAGAGAGAGAGAGAGAGAGAGAGAGAGAGAGAGAGAGAGAGAGAGAGAGAGAGAGAGAGAGAGAGAGAGAGTCATTTTGTCAATCATCTATAGTTGATTAAGAGTATTTATTGTTTGTATCTTGTCTTTCTCTTTTACAATTTAGGTGAATTGGATACAAAAATATTGTATCGCCCTCAATACCAATAAAATATGTCATGAAACTTGTCAATTTGTGTAGTGATTATTTAACATAAACAAATGAATCAAAAGCAAAAAAGAATCAGATTCATTATTGGCAATTTGGCATCGATTGTACATAGTACTTAATTTACTCTTATTTAATGTACTAAGCCAATTGAGACTTGCATACTACATCTATAAAAGTTGGCAATCCCTTTTATCAACGGATTACCATCGAATGCTCCCACCTCGCCATTGTGCACAGGTCTTTGAAAATGTAAGTTACATGCTACTTTAATCTATATATATATATATATATATATATATATATATATATATATATATATATATATATATATATATATATATATATATATATATATAATAATCGCTTTTCATGAGAATTATGTCATAGAAAAGAATTTAAGATTTTTGTTGGATCTTATCGTTTTTCGAAATCCATATAAGTTAAATATTTTATTTATTTGAAAATCATGTATGTTTGGATTAAATATATATATATATATATATATATATATATATATATATATATATATATATATATATATATATATATATATATATGTAATAATCGCTTTTCATGAGAATTATGTCATAGAAAAGAATTTAAGATTTTTGTTGGATCTTATAGTTTTTCGAAATCCATATAAGTTAAATATTTTATTTATTTGAAAATCATGTATGTTTGGATTAAATTACTCCAAATTTATGGATAAAGTTTTGTTTAATTATGAGCAACTAATTTATTAAGCCAAACTGATAAGAAAATATATAGTTTGTATAAAGGTTACATAATAACATAAATTAATGGGGACATTTGAACCAAATTTAATCAGTTTGTCTTAAACGGTTTGCCTCTACTAGAAATCCAAGAGAAGAAAACAACAGAATCATCCAGGAAATCTTTTCTCACCTGAGCCGGCCTCCAAAAGAAAATACTATTCCGATAAATCCAAATAACTTCGCATTCACTGTGAGACGAGTTGTTACACTAATCTTTTTCGAAACCATGAGTAGCACAATAATAACTTGTATCTCCAAACATAACCTTCATGGATTCAGATACTCATTCTCACTTGTATTGCAGATCTCTGAGTGATCAAAAAGTGAAGAAAATAATGTGGAAGCTTCAGCTGTCAAAAGGCGATGATGATCATCCACGAGTCAGAAGCGTAAATCATCATATCGGTAGGCAATTTTGGGAATTCGATCCACATGCAGGAACACCTGAAGAACGATCTCAAATCGAGAGCATGCATGAAGAGTTCACCAGAAACAGGTTAAAAGTGAAGCATAGTTCTGATCTTCTGATGAGATTCCAGGTAATTATGGACGATTGGATTATCATATAATTATAATTTCAAGCACTCGTGTAACAAATAGAATTCAGTTTGCAAGCAAGAATCGTGGTGAAACAGAAACATCTCATATACTTGAAGGAGGACTGGATGATGATGAAGATGAAGTTGTGATAAAGACGTTGAAGAAAGCGTTGAAGTTTTACGCAAGTCTTCAAGGTGAGGACGGGAGTTGGCCTGCTGATTATGGTGGTCCTTTGTTTCTCCTTCCTGGCCTGGTATGAATTATATTTTCGCCATTCCAATTTGTAGTTTCTTTACAAAACTATTTGTTTATTTGTTAGACACTACAAGAATCAACCCCTAGACAGTGACCATCGCAAGCAATCTATTTCATATATAAATGGCAATTCTAATTTGTTTTTTTCCATACCTCATGTTATTTTTCAACTAAGTATATACCTAATGAATCCTTGTTGTCTCTAATAATAAGAGTTGAATAAAAATGTAAGTTCCTTGGTTTTTTATAAAAACAAAAGGTTAAGTTTATTGGGTTAACATGATTGGAGTTTTTTGAACGTTTTGAAACTTCGTTAGTCTTACAAGTCATTTTCTTGATATTTAATTTTACATCATAAATCATGTCATTCATTAAACTTCATTAGTCGGTTGATCCTAATGAGAATTGAACAAAAGTATAAGTTAGTTGGATTTTTTTAGACAAAAAGTTAAGTTTATTGGGTTTTTCTTGAATGTACAAAACATAATTTAAGTTTTTTAATCGGTCTGAAAACTTCGTTGAACTTATAAATCATTTTTCCCTATATATATAATGTCTCATTTGTTATATATTTTAGATTTTTAGGAAAAATAATACAAAAACCAGTAGTGGTTTTTTTTGTTTTTTTGACGATAAAACCATTGTTGCAATTTTCTATCTCGGGCTTGAAAATGGTGAGGTTTTGTTAAATTTTTGTTAAGGCATTGATATACCATTTCTAAAAATTTGATATGTTTGATATAGATATATAGTTATATCATTTTTGTTAAGGCATTGACATATACATCACTGTCACTTTAAATCAAGCTTTGAAAACGCTATATCTCGTAAAACTTGTGATTTAACATTTACTCAGCTTTACGTTTTATTCAATTGGGTTAATGACCTACAAAGGTAACAAACTTTGGTCTTTGTCAATATTTAGGTAATCATGTTTTTTTCGATCACATCTGATCATTGAACTTGTTTGACATGTTCAAACTAGGGTAATATGATTGGTAATTACGGTAATATTACCCTATTATGAACAGGTCACACAAGTTTATTTATCAAATGTGAACGAAAAAAACAAGATTACCTAAATATGAACAAAAACTAAAGTTTCTTACCCATTTTGGTAATATTGGATAAGAACCGTCTCAGGAACTATGCCCTGGAATCAGGCTCCAACAGTCAATGAACAATTAGGTTAGGCTTGGTCTAACCCAGTTTAGTCCCAATTAGTCATGGGCTAAGCTGTATTGCTAGGTCTTTAAAGCACATACAGCCTAGCTCCTTAAGCGTATACAACCTAGCCCATAACTAGTTGTGCCTAGATTGTGTTGGCCTAAAACTTAACCATTTCCTAATACATAAAGACCAGACAACTAAATTTCATATCACATCAATAGATTTTATGACTACATGCAATTAACATAAAGAACCTAATATTACCAAAATGGGTAAGGAATTTTGGTTTTAGTCCATATTTAGGTAATCATATTTTTTTCGTACACATTTGACCAGTAAATTTATTTAACTTGTTCATAATATGGTAATGTTACCGCAAATTACCAGTCATATTACCTTATTTTGAATATGTCAAATAAGTTTAATGGTCAAATGTATACGAAAAAAACATAGTTACCTTAACGTGAACAAAGACCAAAGTTCATTACCTTTCTAGTTCATTAACCCTATTCCATTTAGAACATTGGTTTTCATCTACAAGCATAACAGTGTTGAGCTTTTATATATATATATATATATATATATATATATATATATATATATATATATATATATATATATATATATATATATATATATATATATATATATATATATATATATATATATATATATATATATATATATATATATATATATATACTTGCGGGTTGAAGGTTCAACTCTTTCACGGCATAACAACCTATATTAGCGTCATCTTACTTTAATATTCAACCTTTGGCACTATTTTTTTTTATAAATACTCACTTTTCCATACGTTTATTATCTTTTAATACAAATAGTATTTTATTATTTTAAAATACTTTAACTAAATATAAATAAACCAACCATTATATCGATTCTAATAAAAATATGTGCATGACCGAAAAAAACACGTATCTCAATGGTTATATATATGATTTACTAGTTGTGAAACTCATTTATTATATTGGTTAATTTTAAAAAAAAAAATAGATATAAAAGTCTAAATATTTGAAAGCTTTAAATTCATAAGAAAATAAAAAAAATAATGAATTATTAAAATTAAAATGTTTTTTTATATTTTAAATTTAAATAAATAAGCAAAAGAAATTAATAAGCTTTAATTTGGTAATTTTGAAATTAAAAAGTAAGTCCATTAATGAAATTGATATCTATTTATTATTATATTTATTGTAATTATTATATTAAAATATTATGTTAAATTTATTAAAATAAAAAAATAATAACTTATAAAATGACATGTGGAAAAAAAATTAATTCAAAATAACCAAAAAATGATATTTGGAATGTGATATGTGGTAAAAAAAACTTTAATTTATTAGAGTAGATATGAATTAAGATATACATTTAGCTGAAAAATATACAATGACTTATATTGACACTTAAAATATTACGTTTCTATAATTAATTATGAAAATATATTTAAAAAAATTCAAAATAAAACTTTTAAAAAACTAATTTAAGTAGCTTTCTAAAAAGATAGCTTATAAATTATTTGTTGACTTGTCAAACATAACAACTTAAAAAATCTCAAAATATAAGGTAGCTTATTAAGCCCAAACACATCCTTATTGTAATTTATACTCGATGCATATAAAAACAACAATTAGGAAACCAATAAACACTAAGAGTTCTAAAATAATCCTTATTTTACAAGTGAACTTATATTTATGGCAAGTCTAACGAATAAAAACTCCATCATTATATATATTATTAAAATATAAAATAGTCATCAAAGTTTTTTATTTTTATAAGCTTATTAACAATAAAGCATTATTACAAATGACAAAAAGAAAATGATAATTATCTATAGAAAATCACAAGAAATTAGCAATTGCTTCCGCATTTAAGATTATATTTTGGCATCAATAACAATAAAGTCACGACATTATTTCGAACAAAAAATGATAGTCGTACCACATGTATTCTTTATATACGTTTTATATACGTGTATGTGTATATGTATTTTATAGATATCAGGTGTATGCGATATATGTGTGAAATCTTACGTCAAAACCAGTGTTATAAAACTCGCCGAGTTGGCCGATTACTCCTCCGAATACTCGCTACTCGGCCCCTTGCCGAGGCGAGTTACAAAATCCCGAGTACTCCCCGATCGGCCCCTTACTGAACTAAGCAATATTGTAAAACTCGGTCAACTCGGTGATTAATATGTATAATATACTTAATGATTTATTATTTAACATACACACATGTGATTATTACTACATATATATCTTAAATTTTTAGTAATTATTCACGAAGTGAGACCATTGTTTGTTTTTTTTAGTATTTGTGTTTTCACATGTATCTAATTTTGTTATATATTTCAATCAACTTATGATTTTAACTTATGATTTTGACATATATAATTTCCCTAAAACTGTTACTACATGAATTACCAAATCCGAGTACTCCTGAGTACTCCCGAGTACTCGCTACTCGGTAGTCGGCCGAACAGGTACCGAGTAACGAGTTCTACAACCTTGGTCGAAACATAATAAATAGAGATGAAAATAAAAGATTATTTAGGACAAATAATCTAAACAAAAGTCGTAGCAGTTAAAGAAGTGAACTCGTATATATAAAGAACGTTTAAATCTCATTTTATCAGAGTAAGTTATTATTTTTCGAAATCTTAACATCGCAATATACGGCTCAGAAAGCGAAATTGAAATCCGTCGATTGTTAGGAAAAACAATCTAAAAGAGAGTTAAAGATCTCATCAATACCTATATGTCGATATAAAGACAGTCGAGAACAATATCGTATGAGAAAGATATGATTTTTATCCGGACTTTAAACAGTCTAAGCCTATTAAAAATATAGCTTTAAAAATAAAATGAGAATTAGATGACGGAGTCAAAATGAAAGTTGTAGTACTCGTCGATAGCTACATGTCGATATAAAGAACGTCAAAAACAGAGCTCGTATGAGGAAGTTGTGAATTTTTTAATAAAATTAAGTTTTCGTGCGCAGACACGATGCACGGCGTGCACGACCGCCCGATGCGGCCCATCATATTTTTGCCACGTGTCACCTACCTGTTAAAGCCACGCCACCCTTCTTTGACCAAGGCGCAGTACACGCCAACATAAGGCGTGACATACCTTCTTCCCTGGTGTGTGTGTGTGTGTGTATACACGTTCTGCAGCCTTAGTTCTCACCCATATATATATATATATATATATATATATATATATATATATATATATATATGTGTGTGTGTGTGTGTGTGTGTGTGTGTGTGTTCTGCAACCTTAATTCTCACCCATTCACTTTGAATCTCTCTAGAACTCTTTCGTACCCTTATCCCATTTACTTCCTAGTTCCCGACTACTTTGGCGAGGCCATGCGGCATCAGAGAGCTGGAGAATTTGAAGCTCTCGGGTTAGAGTTTTGTCCACGTAGTTACCGGTTCTCGTTGGAAAGCTTTGTACGTTAAACTTCACTTATCTTAATTTAAGTGTAACTTATATTTATATTCATAATCATTATTATAAACTTATAAATAAGATTTATCAATGATTCCAAGTTATTATACCGGTTGATCTACTTACGAGGGTGATGTCTATGCTGCATTTACGGAGATGTTTAAAGTGAGATTTCCAAACAATATACTCTGTATACCAAATGGATCCTACCTCCAATATAATCCTACCTGGTTATTCCTTATTTGATAAATCTTGATGTAGACATTAGGATTATTAATGAATCTAGACTATCGTTATTATAGTCACTAGGATTATGAAAATAGACGAAGACTTAGTGTCATTTTAATCTATG